AATTGGGTTATACCTTCTCCCAGTTAAGCTTACTTCATTAAATAATGTGTTACCCCATCTCTTGGACCTAACTTTTAAAAATAATGAAGATCATACTTTAGTAACTAAATTCTATTAAATTTGTAAACCAGAAATTTAAACACGAAACTTCATCCTGAGTTTTAGCAGTATAACCGGGCTAGCGCAACTGATTGTGTTCTTGTTGGATGGTTTTGTTAAATATTGTGTTATACTAAGTCCTAGGTCATTAACCGAGTATTTTGGATTTTTCCATTCTAATTTATTAGTCATACTAATTTTTTTCCTAATATTAGAACAATTGAAAAGATGAATATAGTGATTTTTGGGGGCCCAGAAATTCCTACATTTTTAGACCCAACATATTTAAGACACCATTCAAATTAAAGGATAATTTCATGGACATTTATTAGAAAATCATAATACCCCAATGCGTGTCCCACTGAGTTTGCACTTTTCGATACGATTTATATAATATTTATGAACTGCTTATGTGGGTCAAGAGGTTTTCGTATATATATTTTTTAGTACCGCGATAAGATATGTATGTGGTTAAATGGTACAAAACAAGCATATGTTAGCTCATAAAAACCGCGATTACCACGAAAAGTAAAGGATCTATACCCAGGTTGTATCGGTTTTCACACGGTTTTTGTATTTCCCGTTGATGTTTTAATTCTATGGAATCAGATGAGAACGATTGGCGATAACTTTAAACGATTGTAATTGTATATATGATTCATGTTAAGTAAGAATGTAAATTCTAGGTTTTCTTAATATGTTGAACATCTTGACTCTTACCATGTAAATAATCTAATGGTTACAACATAAAAATGTTCGTCATACTGGGTAATTTAGGAGTTCACATTTAAAAGTAAATATTTCTTTTACATAATTAAATTATATATTTATTTTTTTAGTGAAATACTGAATGTCACTGTTTTATTATTAAAAACTTACAATTCGCATATTTGTATGAACAATAACAACACATGACTAAACTGACAATACTTATTTACCTGCGTATGTTGATACTTCTGGAATTCAAAATGTAAAATATCTATGCTCGGGCGTTTTGTTATTGAGATTGACTTCGAAATGAAAACAATTAGAGGTAATTAGAGCTAATTTACGTTCGAAACAACAATACTGCGAAAATAATGAAATAGGTTTGTACAGTTTAATGGATTTTTAGACGTCCCGGTCGAATCTAATTAGTGGACGGGTGCAACTTTTTTTTTGTGTGTGTTCGCTGCTCTTCTATTTCCGTCTATTCCGTTTCTAAAACTGATTTAATCGTACTCCCGCATTTAATTATACCGTTTACCAAGTGACATTGAGCACATTCGACTTATTGTTATTTAACCAACCATACGTTGTTGTTTCAAAACAATTGTTGTTAGTATCAAGCAAAAGAATATTGTCTTTTAATGGCTCAATATTATCGAGAATAATAAATATAAATAAACAAAATTAATGAACACGTGTCAAGAGGATAACTAAATTTTACTAGGATAATATTTTCATTTTATTTTTATTAGTCTAGTTTTCTTTACTGAAAGGTTTGGCATATGTAATTATGTGTTGAAATAACATGATTGACTCTGACATTAATATACTAGCATTGCATTAGTTGTTTGATGATTCAAACAATAGTTAATTATAGAAATATTTGCACAATGATTGTTTACATTATTCATCATTACTTCTATGAAGTTGGTTGATATTATAAATCATTCATAGTAATTTTGTTACTTCTTGTCTAAATTTACATATTGTTAAAATTCTTGACATTTACATGTTAGTTAGTATATTTGCAACATCAAGTAATTCTTGTTGTTTTTTTAAATTTAATACTTCAGTTTCTATTCTTTTCTTAAATCAATAGCCAACTTAATGAAACTGTACAAGTATATTTATTTTGACATTACCTCACCTACTCTTTTAGACGGACAATAGAACTTAACTTTTATCTCTG